CAAAGAAACATAATGTGTTGCCAAGAGTAGTTGAGGCAAAATATAGAGCTATGACTAATAGAGTATTTTATGTTATCGTTGAAGAGGCTCATTGAAGAATTACAGATCCCGATAAACATGCCAATGAAGTTTATTTTGACAATACAACCACCATATGCATTGCATAAAATCTAATATAAGATGATTGCATAAAACACGTGGAGATTGATAGAAACTTCACAAAAGAAAAGAGTGATTAAAGCTACCAAAGGATTTTTCAGGCTTTGTTTTGAGCTCTTTGTAAGCAAGTTGGGCATGACAAATATCCATGCTCCAACTTGAGAGGGGTTTTCAGAATTTTAGGAATTTTTAATTTTTGTATCTTTTATTTTTAGTATTCTTTATGTTTATTATTTTCTACTTTTAGAATTTTCTACTGTTAGTAGCTTCTATTTCTCTTTTTTAACATGGGATTTTGTCTTTCCTAATTTGCTGGTTTTTGCTTGTTATCAATCTTGTAACCGGTTCTTAGGAAATTGGAGAGAAATAAATATTTTTCCTTCTCCCAAAACTTCATTCGCTAACCTTTTCAGATGTGTTCTCCTTCAAGCAATCCACACCACCTGAACACGTATTTTGAAGCCACTTTCATTTCTCATCAAGTAATCTACACTTGAGCTCATTTAAGCTCAAGTCGTTTACTCTTCTAACACTAAAGTCCCATTTGGTCTTCTAATAATAATTGATTGATAATCTTCGAGTTTCCTATCTGCTAAACAATTTCATATAGGGTATTAGATGTAGTGGAAAAACACGTGGCCTATTAGTTTAAAAAGAATATCGTTTCTCAAAGGTATGTATTATTGCTCATTATTGTTCAAAAGAGGTACTATATGTTTCTTATCCATAGCTCTTTAACTTTCTTTTGTTTTAAATCATTACTCACTTTAGAAAGCACCTAATTTTGATTTTTTATCATCTTTATGATCAATAAAAAAGATGAATTAATGTTGATCCTTAATGTTATAGCAATTAAAAAACTTGCGGTCACTCTAAAATTACTTTTTATACTTGTCACTCTATCATCATGCATATATTTGATAATTTTATTATATTTGACACATTTTATTTCTCAGTGCTTACTAAATTTTAATTTATGATAGGTAGAGTGTTACATGAATATCTTTTCAATTCTCTTTATATAATTTCATTACTTGCTTCTGTTAGAGTTCGTCTTCATTTAAAGTCTAATTGTTTCTTTGCTACTAATATTATTTTCTAATCTCTATGATCAATTCTTCATACTTAAATAATGATGCAAAAAAATATTATGATTTAATTTTTCTATAAATATAATTTTAGAGTACTATTGTTTCGTAAAACTCTCATTACATCTATTGCATACCCAAATTACATAAGCTTTTATTATTATGTGAAAATAAGTTTCTTCTTCTTTAATAAATTGTTGCTACATCTATTCTTAAATGCTTTTGTTTTTCTTTAATAGTATAGTTCTGTCTTTTACAGACATGTTGCTTCTTACTCCATAATAAGTCTACTTATGTTCTATTTCTAGTCTCTTGAACTTTTAGGAGCTTCTTAATACAACTAATCATTTTGTCCCACATCATTCTGCTTTTACTTTTCCTCTTTTACTTTTTATCTCGGGACATAATGATTTTTGTTCTTTTTAAGTACCTTTATTTGTCTTAGGACCAGATTATCTTTTGATTGTTTAATATATATCTTCAATGTATATTTTTCATGTTTTTTAGTAATACAATGTCTTAGAATTGCATCATAATCTTTCAAAAAAATTCTTTCCTTCAAACAAGAAAATGAGCTTTTATGGTTTTGCTCCATTTCTAAAGTTTATGAAATATAGATTTTATTTTTTATGCATGCCATGAATCCTATTAATCCATCCTATAGCAAGTTTTTGGCTATGTCATTGCCTATACTTATCCTCGCTTCCTCATGTTTAAGTTATGGTGTATTCATTTATGTCTAAAATCAATTTTTTAGTAAGTTTAACATGCAATATATATACATCAACTAGTTTTATTTAGTCTTAATGGCATTTAATTTGATAAAAAAAATACTCTTATCACAAATCCTAATCTCTTTGGAAATTTAATCTTCTTTATCTACTAAATTATATGCTTTTCTTGTCCATCCATCCCTATGACAAACCTTCTAAATGTGAAATAGATTATCATTTAAAACCTTTTTCAATGTGTTGAAATATTTCTCCTATTCATTTTGTAGTTCTTACCAACTTTTACATTTAACAAATCTAATCTGCCTTTCTCTGCTTTTCATCATAATTTGATTTCATTATGACTTTTCTCTTGCAGATAATGCTCTACCCAATTCTTTCTTGTCACAATTGAGCTAATATTTTCAATAATGTAATAGCATTAAAACAAATGCACCACAACCTAATATAATTTTCTTAAATCTTGGGCTAGAATGTCATTTATGATTCATACCACCTAATAATTCTTCTTTTTTATCGTAATGCTTGCTATAGCTTTTTATAATTCACATTTAAAATCCACAAAAAATTCTTGTAACCAATCTAATGTCAATATTATATGGTCAAACCTTATCTATTTTTCATCACAAATGGGTTCAACTATGACATTCTTCCTAGTGATTATCTATGATCACTTAAAGGTGACGAAAAAAGGATTTTAACATATTAACCACCCAAGCTTTAGATATAATATTTTGGGTGGTTGCTATGTAAAGAAACCCCACCCCCCAACACAAACAAAAAATAAATATATTAAAAAAAACTGTCATCTTTCTTGTACGCGATATCCCAAGTAATTGCTTCTCACAAAAATTGAGCTAAGATGTGCTAACTTATAGGTGGCATCTAGCCTATCACTTGTCAGCAAAATTTTATTTAGAACATGGTGAGTCATTTCTTCTAATGCACTTGACACAACCTTATAGGTACATCTTCTAAAATTTTTGCTATAAATACTCTGATTGCTTTAAGCGTATAATAAACTTAGAAATCATGTTTTATGTATCCCAACACTTAAGGTAATGGGGATCAAACGAATGATGAAAGTATCTTTATGAACTCTTGTTTGTTCTTCCTACTTTAGATTTGAAATTTTGGAGTCATCCATAGGTCTTTTAATGAATTTGTATCTTTTCGTGCTGCTGTTGCAACTGCTCAAAGCTTCAAGATTGTGGTAGAAGCATCCTTATCATGCTAGCACATTTACTCTGGGCAGACACATCAGCAGTACGAGGAGGCTCAAATTCTGTGAAAACTTCCTTTAATAGTTTGCTGAAACCTCTTCTTTCTACTCTGTGGTTTGCTTATATTTTGTGCACTTTATTTTGGTTATGAAATTTGTTTTTACAGACAAAGGAAAACCTAAGCTTAGGATTGACAATGCTAGTTGCATGCTTACATGCAAAATCAAGTGATAATGAACTTGTGGCCGGATGCAAATAAAATTAGTTTGTTCGTGGTTTCCATAATTATTTATTTGTCAATGTACTGTAATGGATTAGCCGTTAATGCTAATGGCATTAGTTCGTTTTTTCTTGTTTGATTTTGCACCAAAGCAGTACATTCTGTTTATTATTTTGAACGAAGAAAACGCAAAGGGAATTGGAAAAAAAAGGATAAGATGTATATGAGATATCGGAACTTCTGAACTTCTCCAGAAGATGTCACCGTGCTTTTTTTAAATTAAGTATGATTTGTGATTCATGATTCTATGAGACATTAATCAATGTCATGTGACATGTAAATTAATTTTTTAGCTTCATCTATATAATTTCGTTTTCAAAATTGCATGAAAACAAACCCTTTCATCTTAATGGCTTACAAAGCATTTGATATATATTTTATTTATGTAGCCTTCTGTGTGATTATGATGAAGCTTTTATTTGACTATTTATTGAATATTTATTAGTGGAATGTAGTTAAAATTCCTAGTTTTCATCAAAAGCAATAATGAGCAAACCCTGTTATATTTTTATGTGTGCTAAATCTAATTTTTTTGTGGTTTCACATTTTTTTGTTTTAATTAGTAATTTCATTTTTGTGCTCTTCTTTTGCTGGATCATGGTCCGTTATCTGGACAATTCGGCAAGTAAGAGCTTATCTCATTTCAAAGCCTATACTTTGACATTATTATTTTTCATTGATTTGAAGTTATCCCGGTGTCTTGATTAATCCAAGTTTTTTTTTCTTTAATTTTTTAAGCTTTTGCTAAATACTTGAATTTCAATTTAAGCTTTCAGTGTACCTGCTTTTGGGAAGATCAAGCAAATTTGGCATGCCTCGAATTCTACACTTTTTAGCAATGAGTTATATTGAATTAGTTCAAACTTGAGTTGAGTATACACTTCTAGGAAAGCTTTTAATAATAAATGTATAAAATCAGGATTATTATCTAAATTTTTTTCATAATAGTCCCAAAGATTGTTGAGTAGGTAGTAGGATTCGAACGGATCCACGAGGTTGCAGTGGAGATGAAGGGTCAGGAAACAACAATAACAACAACAATAAAAAAGCCTTAATCCCACTAAGTGGGGTCGGCTTCGTAAAATTTTAACTACTTGCAAACGTTATGAGAGAAAAGAAAAGTGACACTGAAGCAAAAGGAAGATTTACAAACATTCCACTCAATTCTTATGTATGTACATATCTAACACTTAAACGTCAATTTCATATACCACTTTTCTTATGCATGAAAAGGTATATTTCATCTTTTAGTTAAAAAAATGACATTTTTTATGTGATTAAAAGATTTGGGAGGTATTAATGTTAAAAGTAAAATGTAGATGTTATACACGTAAATGCATAGGAGTTGGATGGTATGTATGTAAATGCCCCAAAGATAAAATATGAAAGGAGAAGTATGCAAGTAATATGGCTATAATGATTGTCGCGTTTTTTCTACCGAGTTGTTTGCTCGATTGATGGAGGAGCTTGTGATAATTCCTTAAATTGCTTTATTTGTATTATATATTTTTCATTTTAGGTGCTTTTGGTTCCAATGGTTCATCTCTGCAAGGATATCCCCCAGACGGAGATTCAACAAACACAACGGTAATTTCTTCCTCCGAGAGCTTAATGTTGAACTAAAGTATATAATTAGAATGCATTATTGGTGATCTTCCTAATGCCTTAGGTATTTGTTGGTGGGCTTGACCCAGCTGTTACTGAAGACGACTTGAAGCAGACATTTTCTCAGTTCGGAGATATTGCCTCTGTGAAAATTCCAGTTGGGAAACACTGTGGTTTTGTGCAATTTGTCTATAGGTAAATCTTTTTTGAACCCAGAAACATTTATTTTAATTTTTGTTCTGTGTAACACATTGATTTTGGATCTTTTCTCAGGAGTAATGCAGAGGAAGCATTGCAGTCTTTGAACGGAACAATTATTGGAAAACAGGCAGTACGCTTATCCTGGGGTCGCAACCCTGTAAATCGGCAGGTATGTTTATTTTCAAGGAAGATTTACATACATACCCACTTAATTCCTATGTACTGACATATCTAACACCTAAACTTCAATTTTGATGTTTCGCCAGTTGCGAGCCGATCTGAGCAGCCCATGGAATGGTTTATATTATGGACCTCAAATGTACGGCGGATATGGGTTCGCCATTCCACCTCATGATCCGATGACGTACGCCGCGGCTTATGGAGGCTATCCTATGTATGGAAATCAACAACAAGTGAGCTGAAGGATTCCACAACAATTGATGCGAAACCAAGCTCTACTTAGGAGGAATCCACAAGAAGCAAGCATTAACATGGGAGAATTTCTCTCAATCGGCTGAGTAGAATTTAGTGATTGATTTAGTAGTTGGCTATGGATAACACAGATCTATCATTCAAAATTTTGAACTATAAAACTTGGGGGGATGTTTAGTACTGCAGTACTTAGTTAAATTTTTGCCCTGCTATTGATAATAAGGCTATTATCTGTTTTAGTAAATATGAGATTTAACGTGTAAAGGTTATATGTGCTTACATGTTATTATTATTATTAGTATTTTAATTTTTTTTTAAATGAATTATGTATTTTTCATATATAGGCTTATGATGCTTAAATATTTTATGCATTTAAATATCAAATTTAGGTTTTAGATATGTAAATTTAAAAGTTGTATGGACATGTATATAAATTTTCCGATTGTTTTGGATGTTTTCATAATTTAGTATATTTGAGTATGATTTCGGTTTTTTATGCATGAATGCACCCCCTTTTGTAATTATTTTGTTTATATTTTAATTTAAATAAAATATATTTTATTGAACTAATGGTTTTATATAATTTGATACTTTTTAAATAAATTGATTTATTTTAATATATATATATATATATATATAACATATAAAAATTACACAACCAAAAATTAAAAAAACAAAATAAAAAAAATGTTGAGTGATGCCAAATAGGTCCTAATAAAATCTGATTCATACCGAAGTAAAATAAGTAGATATATATGTAATATTCCAATCCTTCAACACATTCATAATAAGAAACCCATCATTACAAAAATGATTAAACTAATTCTTTTGGATTTACCTCTCACATCTAAACTTTTATTTTTATAAACATAACACTTTAAAAAGATGAATTTAACTATTAAAAAGTGATAATGAGTGTTATTTTTTAAAATTTTTGTAATTATGAAATTTTAGGTGTGAGAGATAGAAAAATTATTCTGTCAGGACTTCTAACGTGGAGAACCATTCAGAATCCAATAGAATCACGCCATGTGACGGTGACAGAAAAAAATTAAAATCAACCTGATCACACGGGAGTATTCCTCCCGCATTATTCCATATTATTCAGATGTTATTATATATTATTCAAGTGCTATTTTGTTCTAGGAATATTTCCGATGTTATAATAACAAAATAACATATCAATAACACTGAATAACACACAATAATACTTAAATAACACGGGAAGGATATTTCATTGTGTTACCGGGCAAATTTTATTATTTTTTTCACCGCCCACCATGTTGCGTGATTTCATTGGACACTTAATGATTCTCTACGTTAGGAATCCTGACAGAATATGTGCTCAGATAAATGTGAAAATTTCGAGTACCATATATGTAAAAGCCCAAGAACAAAAGAAAAAAAAAATAAGGAGAGAACCAAGAGAGATACGATAAAATATGTGAATATCTCATCGCAGAACCTGTTTCAAGTCTTCTATATTCTCATATGCAAAAGCTACTAATATCCAAAACAATTAAATATTTGGAAGATTTACAAACATCCCACTTAATTCATGTATATTTACATATCTAACACCTGAATGTAAATTTTTACATAAATGCCACCTCAGGTGTATCACTTTTTAAAAGTAAAAAAAAACTGTTTTTTTTTATTTGATATAAAAGATTTGGTTGGTATAAATATAAAAAGTAAAAGGTAGCTGTTTTGACATGTAACTACATAGAAATTGGGTGGGATTCATAATGTAAATGCCCCTTAATACTCTCCCATAATTAGCTCATAATCTTTTGTTTCCCACATGCCATTTTGTAAAAAATGGTCTAATCATCTCAATTGAAATTATTTACCCATGTTTAAACCTATGCGATTAAATAATAAACCAAAATTTAGCTAAAAATTATTTGGCAATCTTCCTAGCGCTCCCTAGTAAGTTTCTGATTAAATCAAATAAATAGAGAAAGATGAAATAGGCAAAGGACTTTAGACAAAACATCTGTGATTGAACATTCTAAAGGTTGCAGCATGAAGAGAATCATAAAAATTGAAGATAAATCCTGATTCAAACAAAAGAATACATTCATCTACAACATTTTACATTCTTATAACTCCACCTTCAGGATGATTCTTAAACTTGAAAAACCGAAAACTTAAAATGGAACAGCAATAATACACAAACATAAGCAGCAGCATGTAACCATTTTGTACCTGGTGAACACGCTTTAAGCACTGTTACTTCTATTAAGCTTTGTGGTGAATTCCTAATGCGGCTTAATGAAGGCATGGCTCGAAGGACCGTGCAATAGTTTAAGAAATCCAAGGAAGCTCAATTTTCCGTCGGTGTGCCGGATCCAATCATGGAGAACAGCATGTACAGGGACTGAAGGACTCAGATGAAGTTCCTAAAATACACAGCATTTGTCAAAATTGATGACCTCAGTTAGAACGTAGGATTGGTTGCTTGAACTTATAAATAATGTTTCGAAAAATGATGAATTATTTTAAATTCCGTCATTTCATTATATGTAATTCAAAATCAAAATGGATTTTGAAGGCTAAAACCACCTTCAAAATCTATCAAAATTAATTGATTTCATTCTTACAAATGAAAAAGAAGCATTATTTTAAGGGGCATTGAGATACATGCCACCTGATTCCTTCTAAAAAGTTTTCATACATAACTAAAGTTTAGTATTGGATATGTAAATACATATGAATTGAGAGGTGTGGATGTAAATCTTACAATTTTAAAAACATGTTTTCAATTTACAAGCTACCAAATGAGCCCAAATCAGTTTTAAATCTCAGAAATGATAGTCATATAAATAAGAGTCAACCTACCGAAGCAAGTTCCTCAATAACTATAGCTCGATTTCCGTCCTCAAAAAGATCATAAGCTTGGCGAGCATGCTGCTCCCATCGATCAAGACCTTCAAGCTGATGTACGCTCAATGCCGCCGCACAAAATTCATCAAAATCCATCCTTCTATATTGAAGAGCGTTCAACTGGCAGATAAGAAAAGAATCCCCATGCATGAGTAAGAAGAAACTAAGCAGAGCAACATTTAACAGAAATTTTGTTCCGCTAACACGTACAGAGACAAGTATGTCTTGAAAACGTGATTCCTTCATGGCATTAATTGCATGGTTGCATAATGCCTGTCAATGAGAAAATGGGTTTACAAGGTCATTAAACAATAAGGATTATTGCAGTGCTCGTGGAGATGAAACAAAATATTTACAAGAAGCTAACCATCTTGACATTTTCAAGAGTTATGCAACCATTTTTATTTGGTTCCAAGAGATTGAATTGCCCTTTAAGATAAACAAGGTCATCCATGGTCAATGTCTTCGAAAGGGCCTGAAAAAATTATAGATATCAGCACCACGGTACTCAAACTTTAGCTAAGGAAACGTTTAAAGCATACAAAGTATGAATTTTGCTGGCATTCAGACACTGGAACACCTGCTCAAACCATATGCACAAATGACTTCATTTAGCTATTATCATTCATCTCATAACCCGATCAAGAAATATGAGCAAATGATTTAATTTAGGTATTATTCTTTGAGTTGATCATCATATGATCAACACATGAGTTCAGTCAAACTTTCCTATGCATCATCATTAGCTTTATCGAAACAATTCAAGGTTAAGGGATTAAATGAGTCGAGTCAGTCCCTTAATTTTGAGATCAAACTCAATACTTGCTACGGATCTCAAAATTGATCCATCGCTTGGTTCAAGATCATAGAGCAGCGAGTGAGAAGAGAACGAATATAAGGCTGAGACAAAAAGGCAAAAGGAATTGGCAACAGGAGAGAGGATCACAGTGAAAAGGAAAAAGATGACAACATGGCAAAGGGAACAACTGTTGCACTAAAGATGGGAAAGAAGGGTAACACTGTTTAGCTTGTAACGTGGTGGAAGAAGATCAACGGAACTGTGTCCTGCGAGCCTTAAGGAACAATGGTGACACAAATGGCAGCTGTGTTGGAGGAAAAGGTTAACACATGAGGAAATAGGATTTAGGGATTTCAATTTTTGGCTTATCCCTGTTAAAAGAACTTTAACCTTACCTTTTAACCTTCACAATACGTTTATTTATAAATATGCATAAAATTTCTTTTCGAGTCCTATACACATTCCAGCTTGTCAAAATGCTTAATCGTGTCATGTTCGGCTAGTTCTAAGTTTCAGCTCAACTCGCTAGCTCAATAGCTAGGCTCAAGCTCATCACTGAGTTGAGCTAAAGTCGAATTGTGAGCTAGCTCGACTAACCCCCCTGTTTGAGATAGGCTGTCTTTGTGCTTTCTATAATAAAAACACATTTTTAGATCTTCCTTCGGTTTAAAGTATCAAAAGACTGGTGTACGTCATAAAGATAATTAGCTAGATAATTACTCAAAATAAACAAACTTCATTCAATAAGTATTAAGATATACACTATAAATGGAATAAATGATAATCATTGAAAGTAATAAAAAATTGAACACACAAGCACAGGCTTATGACTAGCGTAAAAAAGATAGAGCAGCTTGATTGGAGCATTGCAGGAAAGATGAGTTTAAAATAAAAAAATGCACCTAGAGTTGAAACTAGGTGTTTTAGCGTGAACAAGGTGTGTGTAAGTTGCAGAGTGACATACAAATGTGAAGGGAAAACCCCAAATGCTGCATTTCTAACAAAAGTAACCGCATCCGCTCCACATTGAGAGGGCAACTTCACCTATCAGAAGTCACCAAAAACTTTGAACCATTTGAGAAGAAGAAAATTAAAAAACTTGCATTATAGAAAATCTTTAGAAGTATGAGATGTCCCAGTGTTAGGATAGTGATAGAACCTAAGGCAAAGCTAAATGAAGACGAATAAATAAACTAAAGATCACAATAACGCATGCACAAGTTAATGCGATTCGATGATATTTACATATGTTTCAGTCACATAGAGATCAGTATTCTACAAACTCAAAATAGGGTATATGGAAAATTTCTTTTTATGTATACATAGATGATGATAGAAATACTGCAAATCCTGTTGGAAAAGAGAAAAAAAACCAATGCCAGTTTGACTGAATCCACATTAGATGATTCCGTGCTTTTATAAGAGGAAGGTGAAAGGGAGGCGGGTTAAGAGAGCAAGAAAAAGAATGGGAATAAATAAAAATTGAGAGCGCGAGCAAGGTGGCAGATTTGAGAAAGAGTGGATTAGAGCAAGACGCAAGCAAGCTGAAGGTGAAATCAGGTTGAGCAAGATTTACTGTTTATTTGATATTATTCTAACAAATATATATTCTTTTCTTCTTTTGTTCATAAAAAGATATAATACACTTTGAGTTCACTCTTGTTTCATCTACATGTTATTTCATAAAAAGAAAAGACTCATTTTGAGTTGAGACTACTGATCACTGTTGAATTTCTGACCTTAAATATCTTGCTATTTTAGATTTTTTCTTTTTTTGGCAGTCATCTTGATATAAACATATATTTTTTATAAAAAAATTGTACCATAATTATTGAGTATATTTCTTTTATTGTAGAGTTGGTAATATGAACAGAATGATACTGGTGTTTTTATATAATAATTATTTAACGACAGAAAAAAATTATATGTATGTGAATATTGAAGAGAAAAATAAAACAATATTCCAATAATTTTGAGAAATTACTAAACTATTGCTACCTTGACACAGTGTGGTGTACCTTGATATGATGGTTTAAATTAAGTCGGGTTGTGACGCTCAACCTGCGAGCCCTCACCATTCAACTAGGAAGCTTGAGAGGGCTTCAAAGAAGATATTTTTTCACATTTGGCCATTTTAAATTATTTGTCATTATTTATCTTTCAATTCAATAGTCTTTCATAGTCATTTATATTTTGATTAATATTTTTAAATATTATCTGTTATGCCTAAAAATGATGTGCATCATGTCATGGCTCCAGATGTGGACCTTCATAATATAACTATAGTACACTATTAATCATTGACGAGTATGACAAAAGATAACTTTAATGTGTGTGTGTGTGTGTGTGTGTGTCTATATAT